GGCCCATCGCTAGCTCTCTACATGCATGGGACAAGGTATCGGCCCATCGCTAGCTCTCTACATGCATGGAACAAGGCATCGGCCCATCGCTAGTTCTCTATATGCACGGAACAAGGCATCGGCCCATCGCTAGTTCTCTATATGCACGGAACAAGACATCGGCCCATCGCTAGGTCTCTATATTCATGGAACAAGACATCGGCCCATCGCTAGGTCTCTACATAGACAAGAGAAGCGGAGCCACATTCGCGCCTCGAGTGGTATTGAAACGCAGGACCGCAGGACCCCAGTCTTCCAACTGTCGGCGCATTCTGACTACTGTAATATAACGGCATATAGTCCAGCGAAAGTCGACAAATATTTCGGAGGAACACGTCGCCTCCATCTTCAGGCTCGAAAAAGGAAACAAGGAGAGCTCTTCTTTCTGATGTTTCGTTTTTCGTTGCTTCTCTGGCTTACTCTTCGAAACTGAAGACGGACGTATAAGCCTACGTTCCACCGAAACGTCGGTGAAATTTTAGTAGACAACACGGCGTCACATGCCAGAAGACAATACTTCATAATTAGTGGCCTGAGAACTTCAAACGCAACATCAAAATTCGAAATAAGAGACAAGTGGTAGCCCCGCCTCTCCCGCCACAGAAAGTTTAGATTCATTCAACTTAAAGTTCGAAATCACTTCAGATCCCTGCCTAACAAGCTTGTAGTCGCTCAGCTGGTCCTTCACTGGATCCGAACCAGCCGACTTCCTCCCTTAACACAGGCACTCTGTCCTCCCGCGTAGGCCTGGACCTCGGGAGTGGCCGACCTCATGAGTGCTACATGCCCTGCCCTTCTCGCCCTCCTAAATGTACGAGAATATGCTATGAAGTTTGTGATCGTGCCCGCCGTGCCATAGCTCATCTGGTTCGATCCTAAATCAGGTCTTGTGGCATTTGTGGTGGACAAAATTAGTACTGGCTCGGATTTTCTGCGAGTACTTCAGTTTCCCTTGCCAATTCTCATTCCATCAACTAGTCCATACGTATTAATCATCATTTCGTCAACGCTATAGAGTCTCGATACTGAGAGCGCCGTTACATAAGAAACAAACAAACAAACAAACAACTCGTTATACATTTTGTTCCATCATCCTGTGTCTTCGCCCTTCAGTGCAAATCCTGCCCTCAGTACCCTGTTCCCAGACAGCCCAGAGCTGAAACGCTCAGCGTCCTGAGTGTGAAGACGCCACTGCTCTGAAGCAGCGGTAAATATATGTACCATCTGCAGTCTGTGTGTCCCGTATGGTTCTCACAACGAACAGCCACTGTTTCCCCTCAACAGCACCAACAGCCGCTCTAGTGAACTGGCTAACCTAGCAACGTCCCACGCAACAGAGCAAATTAAATCATTCAGAAGAAAACTAACAAAGTAGATACATATCATATCACAAATCAAAGCAATTGATTACGTCATTGACCTCTCTATCTTTGCAAAAATGCAGTGTTTTCTGTGAGGTCGGTGTCATATAGATGAAGATGAGGTTGAACTGCACGCGACTGCTCTGGGGCCTACTTCAGCGCAAGCCTGACTCCCCTGGCCCTCCTTTCAACCGATTTTTACGAAATTCTGTGTGAACGTAAGGCCATCCGGACCCCCCACATTCTTATGTCCTGACTAGCGGATGCATGTACTCGTGACGTGGGAGGGATGGTAGCTGCACTCAGTGTTGGGTCCCGAAATCAAGTTCCATAATGTGGCGCCTTACGAGCTACAGGCTGGACGGCTTGGGTTCAATTCTCGGCACTGCAAGTCCAGATCGACTCTGGGACCCACTCCGCCTCCTATCCAATGGGTTCTAGGGGCTCTTTCCATTGGGGTAAAGGGGTAGGAGCGTGAAGCTGAACACACACCTCCATCAAGCGCCGAGGTCAAGAAATGTAGAGCTATGTCTCCACTCCCCCATACATCTTAATGGCATAGTGCTTAAGTAATTAAGCATAGGGAAACATTTTTTTTTAATTTAGCATCTCTGTTTGAAGGTATTGCGGACTATCAAGCTATAGGTCTAGATATTCGGTCTATAGTTCAACAATTTCTATAATTGGGAGGGTGTGGAAATTTGAGGTTCTATCCGACTAGTCTAACACAAAAGGAATCAGTATTTATGCATCAAACTAACTAACTTCATGCAGCTGAGCCATTCTTGATAAGCCGCCAGTTGTGCAGCTTCCCAAGAATTTCCCAACATTTTGTGCAACCAGAAGGTCCATTACCGTGTTCACAAGAGCCCTCTAGTAGTCTCTATCTTTAGCTCTGTACTTATGCAGCAGATGTGATCAGTCATTACCCCTTGTAGGGCGCTACTGCTCCTGCTAGGCCCTAACAACAGCAACTGTTTCCATCATACCTAATTACATCTCCAAGAACTCTAAATTCCTTAAGCCTGTGTGATTCGAACTCACGACCAAGTACACCCAGAACGCCGCGCCATAGCTCAAGCGGTTAGTCGCTGGCTTCCCACCGCGGCGGCCTGGGTTCGATCCTGGGTCTGGTCAAGTGGGATTTGTGGTGGATAAAGTGGCGCTGGAGCGGAATTTCTCCGAGTACTTCGGTTTCCTCTGCCAATCTTCATTCCACCAAATTTTCCATCATCATAACCACCAGGCTACAATAGGTCAATCAGTGGCCGCCGTGCCGAGTGGACTCAGTTGGACTCCACCCCCC